TAAATAGTAAAAATTCAATTATATTCATATTACTCTACGTTTTGCCTCATTAGAGGTTTATTGACATTTGATCCCCGTATTTTATCTCCTTCTCAACGTGTATTGCTTACATATATTGATATGATAGAAAGTACTGTGTGAAAATGTTTTCTGCTAAAAACTAGTTCGCGAACACTCATAAAATGTGGATTTAACATAATGGTAACTGATGCGGAAATTCTAGCGTTTTTTTCTTCAGCAGTGTATTTCATTTTTTTTTCAGAAATAGCACTGTAGAAAGTCAAAATATTTGAGTACAACTATAACTTACTTGAAATTATTGTGTAATTAGAGTTGTAAGACATGCTAAAATACTTTTTATAATCATCTCATTTGCATACGCAAAGATTTTTTTGTGTAGAAAACAGCACCCTCTGCGGACAAAATGTAAACGTCCGCTAGAAACCGGTTTTCGATACTCGTGGTGGGAAGAGTACAGATAGCCCATCGTGTAGCTTTGTGCTTAACTTCAAACAAACAAACACTGATCTTACTAGTTATCCTCTGTGCACAAGTTTTGAAAAACATGCCTATATAAGATGTACTTTCTGTTCCAATAAAACTGTATTTTATTGCGAGCGAAATTGGTGTTCTGTGTCAACGAGCGGTCAGTGAAATCATTCGCTTGTAAGTGGGTAGACAGGTGGAATTATAGATACTCCCAAGTACGCATAGCAACACTTAGAAATAAGAAATAGCTATATATTTATAATGTAGTACTGTCCGAATCGCAAATCGATCATAGTTAATACTAGCACTTGCAAATCTGTAAGCTTAAAAACAATAAAAAGAAAACTGAACTATATATATCAAATAAAAAAAAATCACTGTGGTGGATTTGTTTGTTTACACTGTTTGCGCAAATTGATACAAGAGGTATTTGCGCATAGCCGTCCCTGATTTTATGCTGAAAGACTAGAAGGAAGACGGCTAGTTAACAGCACCAACCCCCCCCCCCCCCAACACTTGGAACTTGGGTTACTCCTGGGATTTGACTGTCACTCTTACAACGCACCCACGAATCCAAAGTGCGATTCGCGCTTTTGCAGCAACGGTAGGCAAGCCATGGACCCTCAGATTTAAAGTCCTAGCATGCTAACCACTAGACTATACTCAATCCATATCTATAAAAATATAATAAGTTGAGTGCCAAACATTATTAAAGAAGATACAATGAGACATTTTGACTTTTCTCTTGTTCTTATTTCTACTTTTATGTTTTTTCTATGTATATATATATATAACTGGTATTTTATTTATCCTCACCTTCCTTCAAGACCACGTGACAACCTGGAGTCTTCACTACCCGATGCCTTGTAACTGTGATGTTTGGTGGCCAATTTCGTTTTCGAAGAAAACAGGTGTTCGGCTTACTTATCATCGTTGGACTAATGTTTTTGATCTATCAATTTTGGTTAAGTGTTGAACTTTCGAGAAAACGCCAGCGAGAACGAGGATTTAGGCTAAATATGAATCCATACCAAAAAGCTGATGCTGGTTTTTAAGAATATGAGTTAAAGAAAGTAACAAACAATTCATCAAGACGATCGCTTAACAATTTTTATTAAAACAAACAAATTAAAATAAAATATTTATTGTCCTAGAGCATTGTTTTCAAATATTTCCAGCTTAGTTTAATTTCTAGAACTTGATTTATTCAACAAAATAAATGTTTTTCGTATATCTTTTACAATTATTCGATTTAGTACTGAAGTCTAGGGAATAGAATGTGAATTGAACAATTATCGGGACCAGTGTGTCATATATGATAACCAGTGAAGTGGTCTTATTGTTTGAAGAGCTAACTTGAATCGCTGTTATAAAATTGTAGAATAGATAGATAATTAAATTTATTATATAAAGTTGTTCTTATTAACCGAAAATGTATCTACGTGAAGTGGTCATCCAGTTATTTTAAGCCACTTCTTTCAAAGCTGAGCATCGTTCAGCAAATGCACATTTATTAATATACTGCCTTCCTGGAACCAAAATATGACATGTGTATTATAATAGTGTCATGGACAAATATAAATCTGGTCGAGAGTATTTTGATATATTTTCATCGTTGCTAGATGTTATTTATGAATCTTATTTGCTTGTTTTTTTATTAATTTCACGCAAAGCCTCTCGAGGGCTATCTGCACTAGCCGTTCCTAATTTTCAAGTGATAAACTAGAGGAAAGGCAACTAGTCAACGTCACCCACCGCCAACTTTTGGGCTATCCTTTATCAACGATTGACCGTCATGTTTTACGCCCTCATGCTGAGAGGGCGAACATGTTCGCTGACTGGATTCGATCCCGCGACTCCAGTTTCCTAACGACTAGACCATGCCAGGCCGTCTGAATCTTTCGATGACTGAAGTATTTGGAAGGCCGAACCATGAATCATGACTAACTACTAATAATAAACAACGATTTTTTAAAACATTTAAATCATTATGCTACTTCATGATTTTTCTACTAAAGATTCGGTTTTACTACTACCAAGTCATATTTTTGCGCATTTTTTGTCTGAAAAAGCAATCTCTTTGACATGAAAAATGTTTACTTCAAAAAAAAAAAAAGTCCTGTACCTGTCACTGTTAACTTATTCTGCTTTTGATAATCACAAATACTACGTGCAGTTTGTAATTTTTTGCTTGTCAGTATTTACTTGTGAAATAATAAAGTGCTTATAACGTTAATTGTTAATATTTCAATCGGCGGTAAATAGAGTTGTGCACGCATATTAAATCTATCTCAACAGTTGGAAATATCTTAAAATTGTTTTCTCAATTTTATCTTGACTGGATATGTACAAGCATTGAGCTTTCGAACTTTAACTTAACATTTCGTTGTTGTTGCATGTACAGTTTTATATATATGATGTCTAGGTGGCCTTTATAAATAAATTTTTTGTTTCTAGTCGTTATCTCAAAAAATATTCGATTTTTTTTTTATTTGTGCCTATTATCACATGATTATTGTTCAAGCTTTCAACTCTCTTCCATGCACATTCACACCATTCATTTGTTTCTAGCCATATATTTTATTATGGTCTATTGTGATACATTATAAAATACATATATGAACAGTGTCACAATAAAAACACACATATATGTATATGTATGTATGTATATACATGAGTACGAAACATGATATTTACAATTTTTGCTTCCTTGCTTTCTTAGAAATTAATTTGAAATTTATAACACATTGATAATTTGCAACGGAAATTTTCACTACTTTTAGAACTTTTTGAAACCTTTAGTCTTTAAATTTTAATTTCCCTGTCTCATTTTACCATCTTGACTATGTGATACATGTTTCTAATATTTATAAGTTATAGGTAACTGAAGATGTAAATTATGTGCCAGAAACTTCTCTCGTTTAGGTAATGTTCCATTTTTTCACAAATAAATCACCAAAACAAAAATTTATATTTAGTTCATTTAAAAAAAACAAAACATGAAAAAGCGAATCAATACAATTATTAATAAGAACATACGAGTGAAAGTAAAGAATAGTTTTTGTTTGTTTGAAGTTATGCACAAAGTTATACAATGGGCTATCTGTGTTCTGCCCACCACGGGTATCGAAACCCGGTTTCTAGCGTCGCTAAGTCCGCAGACATACCGCTGTGCCACTGGGGGCAGTAAAGAATAGTGTATACATATCTTACATCCAGTGCCGAAGAGGCCTTTCGTCCAATACCAGGGTTCTTCAGGCCGGCTGGGATATGACAGAAACTAATGGTTGAGACACTATTCATATTAACAAACTGTTTGAAAACAACCTTTACGGTGGGAACTGAATTGAGTTGATGAAGTGTGATTTTTTCATAAATTTTGTTTATGTCACAACACATCAGGATTAAGGTAATGATTTTAAAGACAATATTATTTATTCATTTTAACACCATATGTAATTAATTTAGATTTTTTTTTCCAAATTAACCTGCTTATTATTCAGAAGAACTGGCCAACCAGCAAGCTAGTCTTCTTGATGATCAGTCTGTAAACACAGTTCTGCCACAGAATTCGGACATGTACTCATATAGGAGGATTCTAGTGTTTTCTGTTTTAAAATATGTTGTAGAAGACATGATGTTCCGCATTTTTCAAACAATATAACTAGAGAATACTTGTCACACTCTGATGGTACGCTTGACCACTTGAATAACTTTTATATGTAGTGCTATCAAGTTCCCAAAAACTTTAAATAATCTAATGCGATTTTGATTGGAATGTGACAAAACATTGCAGTTATTTCAGCTAATTCACGATAACTGATATCTTCACTACTTTTAGCTTCACCGATCTAACAGTCTGATGTTGCTGTGTATTTTTATTCATTAACCATTCCATGCATAACATACTGGGTGTGCCACATCACATTTTACAGGAGGTATCCACATTTTTTTTGACGGTCGATGTATTAAAGATAAACAAACAAAAGTTCTGCTTCCATTTATATCCATCCGCCGATGGAAAAGTGATAATATTCGGAGTTTATAACACTAAAATTCGGGCTTGCTCCCCGCTGAGGACATAGCGCAATAGTCCATTTGATCTCATACTGAAGAAAAAGTACGAAGAAGCCACGTGACAATATTTAAGAAGCATGCCATGTCATCAGAAACTTTATTTTTGAAATATTCAACTAAATATCATATGAAAATTTTCAATGTGAATTTAAAATAGTTGTAAATCTATCTGATATATTTGTTAATTATGAAAACTAATGATTTTCGAATTATATCAAGACCTCACTTTAATCTTTAAGAATGCTAGGCTTCATAAAATTTAAAAAGATGTTAGAATATTATTTTCAGTCTTATGTCAAAATACTGTACTTGCAAGAATGAAAGGATAAACGTTCATCTCATTTATACTATCAAGTGATAAATTTCAATTATTAATAATTTTAATGTGTTTATATCCAAATTCCCGTGCAGAGGGCGAAACATTTAAGATTACTTCATGAATATTGTGGCTATATATAAATGTGGCGATGTCGGGATTTTTATTGAGGGGTGTGGTAAAATACTGTAATTAAATTAATCTGTTTTTGCTCTAATTTCAGTCAAAGTTTGTGACTAAAAAATTTAAAGAATAGTTTCCCCATAAAAATACGTAAACACTAGCAATAGATTTATCATTTCTTTAGGGATTAACTGTTTTGTTCTCACTACTAGTACTAGTATTACCATAAAAGTATAATTTAAATATAATTTGTAAATTATAAAAAAAAACGACTATCAGTATCATTATCATGGCTAGACCGTTGTTATTTGGAAACAGTGGAACCAGCCAGGGACAAAGCAAATATCTAGTAGAGTTTAAGGCTGGAAAAATGACATTGAAAGGTAATATGGTACATCCGGACAAGAGAAAAGGCCTAGTGTACGTGTACCAGGCAGACGATTCCCTGATGCATTTTTGCTGGAAAGATCGAAGTTCTGGAATAATTCACGATGTAACTAACTTATTGGTTTTATTGAACCCTAACTTATGGCATGGCAAATATATTATTTTGAACGCTTGTTGAAGTGTTATTATTATTTAACTATTTTATAGACAAAATATGGTAAAACTAGTTGAAACTTGAAATAATTCTGTATTGTGTATTATATAGACCAGTGGTTCTCAAACGTTTCAGGCTCGTGTACCACTTTTGTTTAATTTCTTAAAATTACAAACCCAGGCCTAATTTTAAAAAAGATGTAAAAACCTAGTAACAAAAAATTTCTAACACTTATACATTAATGGCACAATTTAAGAATATGTGGTGCCAATTTTGTGAATTTGAAGGGAAGAAAATACTGGTGAGTTTATGCAGGTAGAACTAGAAGGTGAGTCTATAAGTGAGGAGAGTAGTATGTATAAGTACGTGGAAAGCTCAGATAGGGCTTATTACAAATTTTATGTTTTTTTTTTTTATATATTAAGTTGTGTAACACCAACATTAGCTCCACGTAACACAGTTTGGGAATCTCTGATCTAGCCTATACCAGTTTGTGAAGTCCTTGCAAGTTGTAATTTTTTTCAATGTGTTTGAATAGAAAGAATAAAGGAAAAAGCTCAATTCTAGTGATTTGTTGTTTTAAACAGTTGAATTGTGAATAGAAACTAATCGTTTTTTTTCAGCAATTGGCATGATGTTAATAATAACTGAAGCTAAGGTAAATAGTAGTGAAACAATTTTTAATTTGAGATTTAACTCAGCCAGCTTATAAAATATTGATGTAAAGTATTAAAATGTGTATCTTGATAATGTTTTCTTAATAAAAGCTCTTTAAATTATGGTACTGTATGTCATGATACCAAAATCTTATGACATCTAGAATCAGGGTAAAAGAAAAAATTTGAAGTATTGCAGTTTTTTAACCCAGTTCTTCCAAATTTTAAGTCATGCACTCCATTTGTAAAAGACTTGAGAATTTGAAGTACTACAAGTACTTGCATA